AACAGTTGGGCTTACTCCTGAGCGGGAGCATCAGAGTATTTGCGCAAGAAGCCCTGATTTCACACATTCGAACGTCCGTGTTCTTGCGCAAGACCCCCCCGCCAGTGTAGACAGGCAGCATGTTTTTGCACAAAAGCGGCTGCTTTTGTGCAAAATCATGCCAATGTAGACACAGCCCCCTAGTGTGGTTCACTGTCCCATGCAGTGGCATCTAGACCACAGCAACAGTCAAGACCAAGATGGCTCAGAGTAGAGGCTCCTATACTAAGCTTCCTACGTCCCAGGTTCAAATCCGCCTGGTGGCGGTTACACAATGACTAGGGTGCATCTCTTCCCCTCGCAATTTGTCCCTGTCGAATGAGATGCAAGTCTGTTGCCCGTTTGCCTTCATGGATGTTGGATGTGTTGCCCTGCTAGTACAGCCTCATAACTTGTTTACGATCCAGCAAAGCCCACGCACGCATGTAGGGCCTGGGCAAAGGGCCCACGGGGAGGAAAATGGAGCCTATTCTCGGAGCAGATGAACCCCACCTCCAACTCTTGGCATTTTAAAACCTCAGCCGGGCTCAGCAGGTGAATCAAACCCTGGGATGTTTGGAATGGCTGCTCACATGGAGACCAAAGTGTGCAAAGCGCAGAGCCTGGGAATATTTCTGGTTTCAGTTTTGCTGGGGGAGGGGAAGGCTGGAGGTGAGGAGAAGAAATTCTCTGAGCAGAGTCCTAAAATAGAGAGTGTGCATGTGGCAAAGAAACGGCCGCTCTTCTGTCAGGCAGGAGGGTTGTGCTGAGGGCTTTCCCCCCACCCCCATCACTGGGAATTCAACACCGTGATTCTCACCTCACTCCTCTCTGGAGATAGATCTATGGGCCAAATTCTCTCCTGCTGTTTGCTGGGCCAGTTTGCCCCAGAAGAGAATTTGGCCCCATGGAATGACACTGGCATAAAAGGAGCTGAACCAAGTTATGCCCCGGCAACCACCCTTAGGCTCAAAGGTGGATGGATGGGGCCTAGTGGCTCAGGTGAATGGAGAGGAATCTGTTCTACAGGTGATATAATCAATTATTAGAGAAGATGGTGTAGGCCAGGCTTGACATAAAGGCACCTCAGCGGTCTCCCCCATTCCTCACACAGCCACCTCATTATGCATCAACTGGATGTGTAATGAGATCACAGAAGACCCCTGTCGATATTGCAGAAGGAAAGAAACTAATTTTCTGTCCCATGGGAACAGGATTATAATCCCTTTCCAATTAGGGATGTTAATGGTTAACTGGTGGGGACTGGAATAGTGTCTCCCCCTCTCCCTCCGCACCTGCCATGGGCAGGGGGCTGCGCCAGCCCCATAGGGCCTGCCATCAGTGGGGAGGATGCTCCAGCCGGCCAGACCAACCCCCAACCGCAGTGCGTATAATCAGAGAAACTTAACATTTAACCAGTCAATTAATAAAACGGGATTTTACATCCCTGTTTCCAATCTCCTCACCGCCATGAGCCAGTCATCGATTATCAGTCCAGCCCTCCACAGCAATCCTGACGCTGAGTCAGGGGAAAAGATCCAGCTGGCGAAGCCCAGAGGGACATTTGTAGTCAGAAATGCCAACCCCCCTGCAAAAGTGACTCTGACTGTTTGCTTCAGCAGTGGCGAGTCTCAAGTCAGCATTTACGGACCCGCGCATGGCTCTGTGTCATCTCATTTGAGAGGGTCGCCCCCAAAAAACCCTAAAGTGAGCACCCCAGAGACAGCCAGAAATCGACTGTGGTGGAGTCATGTCTCCAGCTGCCACACCGGAGATCGATCTTCTGGCATTTGATTTAGTGGGTTTGGCAAAGACCTGCTAAATCAAATGCAGAGAGTGCTGCCGGTCGGTGGTGGAACTCCTCGCAGTCGTGAGGAGTAAGGGAAGCGGATGAGAGTGTTTGCTCCCATCAACCTCCCACTGTGAAGACAGCGCCAAGCTTGGCTTAAGATGTGTCGACTCCAGCTACCTTATTTACATAGCGGGAGTTGCGTACCTCAACCTGACCTTTGGGTCTTCTATAGACCTGGCCTGGGCAGGTGCAGTCTCTAGCTTTAGTGAGACCAGGGCCAGCCTGAGCTCTTTTAGCGCCCTGCCCCCGGGGCGCACAGCACATGCACAGCCTGGCCACAGCCACTGGTGCGCAGGTTGGGGTCCGCCCCACGGCGCATGCGCTGCCTGGCCCAGCCACCGCTGCTGGTGCATGCGCCGGGCCATCAGCGTCCTGTGGCAGTGGGGGGAATGGCGCTACTGGCTGGCGCTGTGGGCGCAGCACCTGGCGCGCAGCACCTAATGGCAGCTTTAAGGGATGCTGTGCGCTCCTTACAGCTGCCATCAGGCGCCCCCCCATCGGTTGGCGCCCCGGGCAGCTGCCCAGCGTGCCCATGCCTCGGTCCAGCCCTGAGTGAAACCCTCAGATGCTACATGGAGATGGGGGGGGAAAGAGAAGCTTTTTCTTTCTAGAATAAGAACAAGTTCCAAATTTCGATTTCAGTGATGCAGGTGTAAATCTGGAATAAGGCCATTCCCTCCAGTGTGGCTGCTCCGGATTTACACGCGCGTGAACAGAATTTGCCCCACCCTGTTTACCTTGGGCTAGATTGTGCAACCATGACTGAAGCGGAGAAGCACTTAGAGTCTCTTCAGCTAATAGGTCTGGGTGACTATTTGCATGAGGAAGGGCTCCACAGTTTGGCTCCTTGGAATGACATGCCGGGGCTAGGCAGCTATATGGAATTGGCCAGTGGCTTATACATGCTCACAGTAGGGCCAGATTCAGGTTCTTGTGTGTCTTGCACTCTCTCTGATGCTTGTATGACCTCCATTACTGGTGTATCCAAACACCACACAGTCTTCAATGCGTCCTTCCTCATAATATCCCCATTTTACAGATGGGGAACTGAGGCACAAGGAGGCACAGGGTAAATTGCACCCCCATGCAGCAGAGAGAGACAGAACCAGGTGCCGCAAGCCACTTAGCCTCAAGCCCCAGCTGGGTATTTGCAGTGGTTTTGTGATGTCTTTGGAAAAAAGACACCCAGTGACATTAGTTAAGCATCTTTCTGCACTAGTAAACCAAAGGGAACTTTAGGGAGGCGCTCAACTTGAAACCTTCCCTTGGTCATTTTGATGCGATGGCACCAGCTCCTTCAGAGGACTTGGAAGCCCTGCCAGGTAGTGAAACATCTGCACCCATGTAATGGAATCTAGTCACTGGCCCATCTACATCCCACAGGTCAGGCAGGGTAAAACAGAGGAAGCTGGCTGCTGAGTTCCACCAGTTGGGCGTGAGGGCAGGAAGCAGATCCCGGTCCAGGCCCAGTGGACCCAAAAGGAGTTGATCATGAGTCAGGACTGAATATGGATGTTGAGTTTTGGTTCCATGGTATTTGTTCATGCTCTGTTTACTAGCCCCTAACACAGTGTGGTAGAATCTCTATTACCTTAATGATGGTGGATCTACCACAACGCCAATCCTCCTTATCTGCCCTGCTGGGAAGCTACATAAGATTCCATGGAGTTAACTGCAGCCTCTGCTACTTCCTGGCATGGGGGAAGGTTTTCCTCCCCCTGCCCCAATTCTTAGGCTGGGCCAAGGATTGGTGGAGCCCTGGGTGGATACAAAACTTGCATCCGCATCCCTATGAGATCTGCAAATTTGCAGGATTCTCAATACAAAATTTGTATCCCCGTCCTCACCCGCTGCTGCCAAAATGAGACTTGGATCTGCAGGTATAAAGCAGAGATCTGTGGATTTGTAGTGCTCTAACGACTGCTCCAAAACAACCAGTCCAGCAAGGTGCATGGGAATTGGAGTTGCTCACACATCCTGGGCAAAACACAACCCTCCTAATAGTTTCCAAGAGTTTTATAAAGGGGACTTAAAATCGTATCTGCAAGCCGCAAACGAACAGTGCGCTCAGAACAAGGAAAGGCTTTAGGCAGCTCGTAAATTAAAACAATGTCCGGATCGGCTTAAGCACGAACAAGTTCAGTCCAGGTATATTCTATCGAAATGCCTCGACAGCTATGGGCACATTTTGAGATTGCGCTTACTTACTTGAGGGCAGTAGCATCTGTTGAGTCTTCCCTTTAAACTAATACCCCTGGGCTGGACATCTTGCTGGTTAGTTATGTTAAGAACTTCCCTATAAATGTCAGGTGGGTTTAAGGAGGAGAAATATGCAACCAGCAGGCATTTCCTTTTTTTTAATCTTTTGCAGCCCAACAAAATAAGCCTGTTCCCTCCTCCATGGGCAGGGAGGTGCGGCTGCTTGTCCAACACCCCCCTGGAATTAACTGGCACCACAGGCTATTTCTTCCCCCCCCCCTTCTTTTTCCAGTCCCTCCTTTCTCTCCCTTCCCAGATGCCTCATCCAGCGAGTTGTCCCTTTGAAAATCCACAGGCAGCACTGAGATGAGCTCCCTTGGGGAACTGCACACACAGCTGATTTTTCACATTTGGCTCCTGTCTTGACAGAGGTGGGGACAGATAGACCTGCCTCCCTGCCATCACTGGGAAAATGTACGCTGGCCACAGCCAGGCATGTGCAAAATCCAAGCAAGAATAGGGTGGCGGGGGGAGAAGGATTCTCCCCAGAGGCCCCCTGGACCATACGCCAGGCTGGAGGCGGCTGTGCCCAGGTTTCCAAATTGACCAGCTTTTATTAATGCATGAAACTCAGATGATCAGCAATAATCTAAGACTCCCATTCACTGCCCCCACCTTTCCCTCACCCCCTCTCCCTGCTGCTGTCTGACTTCTCAACACTAGGGCTGAATATTTGCTCGCTGATGCATTTAACGTGTATGACAGCTGACTTTTATCCCTGGCAAACAGCTTCACATCCTCCCCCCTCTTCCTGCCCCCCTCCCCACTCCCCAGCCCCTGGGCAAAGCCTCCAGATCAGTTAGTTTCTTTAGAAGTTCATCTATGGAGCCAAAAGCATCCCGCTATTTGGGGGGGGGGGCGCGTCTCTTACCGTGGCTTTGGGAGCCGTGCATCCACAGGATCCCCTAGCTGGCTTCCTCTGCCCAAGACAGCTGTGGTCCAGGCTGTCCCAGAGCAGGATGATGAATGAGCCGCACTTTCCCCTTCCTGGGAATGTCTTCCCTGGGCTACTGACATCTGATCTCCTTCTGTGACAGCCCCTCCTTCTTTCCCCTCCCCTCCGTGTCAGCAGCTCTGTGTGTGTGTGTGTGTGTGTTAGTTACCAAGATACGGTTCTACAGGCTCGGCTCGCCTGGCTCGTCCTCAAAACAGGCAAACTCAGTGAGTGGCTGGCTGTTAAAGGGGCAGCCCGGCTTCCTAGGGAATAAAAAAACACCTGAAGGTTGAGGATACAAGCCCATTTTCTCTTGCGCCCATGCACGGCAACTGGCCTGATTTTAGAGCCCTGCAAATCTGCAGAGTGTGTGTGTGTGTGTGTGTGTGTGTGTGTACGCAGATGCAGATGCAGGTACAAACTTTGTATCCAGAACCCTGCAAATGTGTGGCTCTTCATTTGCCTCAGCGTGCCGCCCTTACACACACACACACACACACACACACACACACACACACACACATTTCCATTTACCTCAGCCTGCCACCCTTAACAATTTTACACACTTACACACACACACACTTTCTCTCTCTCTCTCTCTCATTTGCCTCAGCCTGAACCCCCCCAACCTCGGGCAAACACACAGAACTATCACTTGGCTTTTCTGTGGCCCTTCACAGGAATGAGCTTGTCCCTGCTGTGAGGCAATAAGTCTCCCAGAGAGGGGGCGACAAGGCACAGGCTTATCCCAGGCCAACCAGATAGTTGGTGGCCTAAAAAGAGACACAACCACATTTCTTGAGAGCCAGGCCTCTGATTTAACTACTGACCAGGCTTCTCTTGAATCTGCCCCTGTTGGAGCTTTGTCTTAAAGGGACCAGTGTCCATGACCTCTCCAGGCCTCGTTGGTATTTTTATCGGTGTATATTAGACACCAGAGACGAGCGCAGGGCAGAGAGATGAAAGAGGGCACGATCGTTCCACTGCAGAAATGGGCAGCCATCCATTCTCTGCTGTCCCTTCCCTACCATCTCCTGGACTGATAATCAGGGGGGCAAGGCTCAGTTCTCAGGCCTATCAGAGCCAGGCCATGCCCCTCAGGGCCTCAGCTCCTGATGCCCCTACCTCACAGTGATGTGCGGGAGGTGTTCCAACCCTGCAGAGATGGGAACTAAGGAAGTCGCTTAAGGTCAGTGTTCCCTATAAGCTGGATGCTTGGGAAGCCACCCAGGAGAGGTTTAAATGTCACCCAGCTGATTAGCAGTGCGCCCACAGTCAGCAGAATGTGTTTCTACTGATGGTGCGTACCTGCACGTGCCTTAGTGCACTTAACAAAATTTATTCCGCCCTTGCTCCTGGACCCTTGCTCCTGGACCCTTGCTCCAGGGACTGGCTAAAAGAACAAGTGGAGTGGGTAGTGGGTGTGTTTCTAAAATCAAAATGGGGTCCATCTTGAGCTGAAGTTGTGAGGGCCAACCTAACGGGTTGGTATGTTCTCAAAAGTTCATGGTCCCCAGGAAAACATTGGTCTCGCAGAAAATTCAGATGGGAAAACGTGCCCCTCAAATACAGACCCATTACGAGCATCAGAGGCTGAAGTACACGTGGTTTAGCTGCAGCCTCCAAAGTATTAAGACATGAACTTGTTTACTTCAGTTCCTGATTTGTTGTGGTCCCATACTGAAATAGCAAAATCTTTAATAGGAAACTTCCTTTTAATTCTCAGTCCTGTGGCTTTTATTTCCCTTCAGTAGGTTTCATGACTCAGCAGCACAGATGGATCTATCCCTCACAGCCTTCAGCACGGAATCTGTTTATTGCTCCGGAGGCTGTTTTTTTTTTCTCCCCCCCCCCCCCCCCCCCCCACCCATCTTATTAC